CTGTTTACTGTCTTCATAGTTTTTTGCCTTTTCCAGAATACTTTGTCATTCTTCTGCTTCATTTCCTCTATTGCTGTTTTTTCACGTGTGTTTAAATAATTTTTATAATATGCCACATCGATTCTCTTCTCTTTCCTTTTTTGTGTATATTTTTAAGATTATTGTATTAGCGCTTACAATTATTAATTAATTATTAATTAACCCTATACAATTATAGGATTACAATTGGCATTCTAAATTTATAGCAATATAGTGTGGATTGATACCTACTTAACTTTGATAGCACAAAGAAATTGATGTTTTTCTCCATCTCCCCTGTTTTGTCACAAATAAAATATTTATAAGCCGTGTGTCCATTAACATAGATTTATAATGACTTTATGCATTTGTCTTTTCAATAATACAGAAAATACAAAAAGTATTACAAACCAAAAATAAAGTAATACTGACTTTTAAGTTTACCTATATAGTTACCTTTACTAGAGTTCTTTATTTATTTTTAAGGCTTTAATTTGAGCTTCTTGAGTTCCCAATATATTCTGATTATCAGACCCTTATCTGAGGCATAGTTGAACATCTATTTTCCCATTCTGAGGATTGTTGATTCACTCTAATTATTGTTTCTTTTGCTGTGCAGAAGTTTTTTTTAACATGGTGTAATCTTACTTTTCTATTTTGGGGAATATTCTATTAGTATTTATTTCATGACAGGTATACTAGTGACAAACTCTTTCGGCTTTTGTTCATCTGGGAACATTATAATTTCTCCCTTGTATTTTTAAGAATCTTTTTACTAGATATAAAGTTCTTTTTTTTTTCCTTTTTATTTTTTTTTAGAAATTTTTTACCTTAGGGCACAGGCACACCATGGAGAGAGAAAGAGACAGACATGTTCCCCGCAGTGTGGGAGGGGAGATGGCCACATCACAAACCTTTCTTCTCCATTCTTCTCCTGGAATAGTGAGTGTGCACGCACACCCACATGGTGTGATTTTTGAGCCACTGGGTTCCAGGATTCAAACTGTTGTCAGCCATGCGTTAGACTAGTGATGTAACCACTATTCCATCTGCTGGTCCCACAGAATTGTAACTTCCATGAGTAACATTTACTTAGCACATAGTGGATGCTTAATAAATGGACACTATTACCATTTCTTTAATAATACTAGATTTTGCACAAAGGTCAAAGATTGTGGATGACTTAAAAATATGATATATATATATATATATGTATATATACACACATACACACACACATATATATATTTATTATTCATTTTATATGTATATATAAGATAAATCTGAATCCTGCATCTCTTATCATACTTAGTATGTTGTAATAGCTATGTCACTGGACTCCTATGTAGTCGACTGTGGTTCGAGTACCAGATCTAGTGGCTTAAACTCATGCCAGACACATGTGCGTGTGTGCCTAAGATCTCAAGAGAAGAATGGAGGAGAAGGGATTGTGGCATGGCCATCCCCCATGGGGGGGGATTTCTTGCTTTCTGTCTCTCTGTCTCTCTCTGTATTTCCGGCGAGTGCATGTGCCCTATAGCAAAAACATCTCCAAAAAAAACCCAAATAAATAAATTAAATAAATAATTTTTTTTAAATGGATACTACTTTTAATTTTTAATTTTTTTAAAATTTATTTATTCAGGGACCAGCAGTTAGCGTAATGGCTATGTCGCTGGACTCCCACATAGTCGACCGCAGTTCAAGTCCCGGACCCAGTGACTTAAACTCACGCCGGGTGCGTGTGCATGTGTGCCCAAGATCCCTAGAGGAGAATGGAGGAGAAGGGATTGT